TCAAGCTCGTGGGCTTGAGACTTCTGAGCCCGCACTCAGGATCTTTAAGTCCGTATGCACAGAAATGGAAATCTCCCCAGGTCACGGATGGATCTGAAAACAATTGTTGCATGCATTTCAGATACCATATCCTGGATGTCTGAGGATTTTCGATGATGAAGTATCTTCTGTGCTTCAACTGTTATCGCGCAATGGATGCCACAAATTCAACCATGGGAAGGTAGCGTCTCCGCTTTTCCCCAACCTTTTGTTGGTCTTGTTGGATGTTCTGCATATTTGACCATGGTCCACAGACCGGTGCCATAAGGATGACATCAGGTGCTTGTTCCCTGATGATCTCCATGACCATGTGTCGTCCCTTGGATGTCATTGCATCGAATCCTGTGCGGATGTCTACGGGAGTCCCAACCTTAAGACCTGATAGTGCACAGCATTGACTAAATCTGGCACTTCCTGCAAAGATCTCGAGAACGTGGATCTTTCCCTTACGTACACAATTCCAATGTGCTTGTTCAGGAATGGATGTGAGGTCCTCGACGAACATGTTCTCTGCTGGATGAGGTACTGCAGGTTTTGGAGTTGTTTTTCCCGCGATACGTAATGGCACTGAGGATCTTGGCTTAGGAGCTGGTGCGGATGATTCCTTTTTCTTGGTATCTGCAGAGGAGCCTGGTTGCTCCTTCTGCAAGGATTCTCGCTCTTCTGGTAACAGAAGATCAATTCCGGGTTTCCCCGGAGGGATGGTCTCATCCTTCCTGAGCTTCGTCATGTTAACCTTGATGAGTCGAGTCCCAAGATCAAGTCCTACCATCGCTCCTTCAATGGAAATCACCTTTCCTTTTAGCCATATTCCTCCCTTGCTTCCATCGGAACGAATCTTGGATTTGTTTTCCTGCCAGTAGAATACCTTGTCCTTCACCTGAAGAGGCTTTGAACTCATTCGGAGATTTTGAGCAAGGTCTCGTCGGATGTCTTCGGATTGACGTGCTTCTTGGAAAGCTTGCTTTGACAGCTGCTTGATCTGGATGGCTGTCAGCTCTTCTTCATTCCTGTCAATCGTCAACTGAGTTGGTGTTGCGACATCGAGTTGGATGAGATCTGCTGGTCGTCTTCCGAATGCGAGCTCCAATGGTGTTACACCCCCGTAGGTGACGGTCTGATTCCTGACAGTTGCAGCGGCCTTCACTAGCTGCCTGTATGTCACTTTCTTCAGTGTTGCAGGTGCTGTACCTGCTTTGATGGAACTTAGCATGATCTTGAGTTGTGCCTTCAGGAGTCGAACTGCTGCTTCAGCTCGATTTGGCCATGGTGTATTCGGTCCCAAGGATATCGGTGTGATGTCAAGGGACTGATAGAAATGTTCCCATGTATCTGTCATGAAGGCTTGATCTGCGACAACTGATTTGGGCTGCAAGTGGTACTGGTCAAAATAGTTCCTGAGGACAGTGATGTTCTCGGCTTCTTGCGTAGTTGTCACTGCCTCTGCAGTGAGCAATGTTGTTGCTCCATCCAGGATGACAAAAACAATGATGTGTTCTCCTGTTCCAAGAGGAACTTGACAGTGATCAATGAATGTCATGTCACCAAAGGTGTCCGCTCGAAGTCCACTTGTTTTGCTTCGTGATGGTGCATGTTTTGCCGCTTGGCAAACTTCACACTCACTTCGGATCTTGTCAAATAGATCGAATGTTGATTTCGGCAAATTAAGTGCTCGGGTTCTAAATCGAAATTGATCTGTTGTCACGTGATGATGCTGCAGGTGGAGTTTCTTCAACTCTTCGGGAATTGACAATCGCTTGTGTATTCTGCCTAGGGCAAGCGGAAGCGATGTTGGTTCTTCTGAGGATGGTGCGAAAGGATCTGGCTCAATAGTCGACCGGCCCCTCTTTGTCGATGATCCTGTCTGCTGCCGATCCTGAACCTGCTTCTTCGTCCTTAAGCGAATTGTCCGCGAAGGTGGAAATGGTCTTACCTGTCCACAGGTTAATCATCGGTTTATTTGCCTGGGATGTAAGTCTCCAATTGTCTTCTAGAATGTCTGGATCTCCACCTGCGGATGCATCAATGATTTCCGTAGTACGTTCTCGGCTAATGTGATCAGGATTGATTCGACATTCCTTGGCTCCATTTGGTGTGAACAGCGCCTTTCGGGGCGTGATGTGCACACGGATGAGCTGCTTGTTCTTCTTGTCAAGGATCCAATCGTCCTGCTTTTGAGACCCAATGATCTTAGGAGTTGCTAGGTCCTCCTTTGTCTCGGATGATTTTGCTGCACAAACAGTTTCGCTCTTGGTGAGATCCCCGGAGGGAAACTTGATGCTGTTATCATCGTCATAGACATAGTTGATGAGGCCCTTGTGAGCAATTTTTCATGCGCCTTCACTCTTGCAACTCCAGCGAGATCGACGAGTGCATGTCCTGTACCGGATACTGGAACTGCTTGACGGTTCATGCCCAAAGGCCTTGCATGTGATCTTGTCACATTGAGGTGTGTGCTCGATGGTCATGTAGAGGTTCCGCATCTGGCGGATGCTGAGAAGGATCGGTACAGTTCCTTGTTCAAGGACGTCGATGTTGGTACTGCATGGAGGAGTTGTGTGATATCGAAGATGCAGGGTCCAATTTACCCTGGCGGTCTCTCCGCTCGGCCGGGATGTACTCATAGGAGATGATGTCCTTCATTGGCTCGATGGCCTGAGTAAAACGCTGGATTGCATGCCAGCTGCCCATAGATCTGGTACATCCATTGTCCAGAATCGCATAGGTCGGGTTGTGCTGAGGGTTGATGACAGGCGCCATCAGCTTTGTTGCCAGAAGGCTGTGATTTGTTGCGACGGACAGATTGTGTTCTGAAACTGTATCTGATTGGATCAGCTTCTCGTGGATGGCCTTTTTCCCAGGATGCTCATATGCATCATGGAATGCCATTAACGCTTGTTCGTTCCATGTCCATGATTGATCCCAGTCTTGGTCTGTCCAACCGGCATAGGTAGGCTCTATGGATGGTGCAGTCTGCTGGATGGCGGGCTGCTCCTCCGTCTTCTCTGCGGTGGCTGCGAACGTTTTGGATTTTCCTTTCTCCTGTCCGCCCTTTCCTTTGCCACTCTCATAGGATGGATAACCTTTGTTTCCATCATAGGGATATTTGGGGATATTGGAATTTTGATTTTCCTTTCTTTCCCTTCTTTCCTTTGCCTTTTCCCCAATATGCCTGGTCGTAGGGATCATAGTTTTCGTTGGCCATATTGGCCTTTCCGCCAGAACCGCTTTTTCTGAAGGGTTTGAAGCCACCTCGCCCTTTTTGTTTCCTGATTTTCCTTTTCCTTTTCTCTTCTTGAACTTGAAGTTCCGCCCCGACACTTTTCTTGCTATGAACGCATCGTTCTCCTCGAGGACCCAGAACGTCTCTTCATCGTTGTTTGACATGAATCCTTCAAGTCCTTCTTCATCCTCAACCCAGAAGCCTTCTTCTCCTTCGTATTCACCTTGTTCGATGATGAAGAATGTGTTGCTTCGGTTGCCTCCTTGAGGTCAGATGGATGGATCTTGGATTGATGTCCTCGTCGTGATGAAGAGTTCATGGTAGTGCGTCTTCAGCATCTCATAGGAGTAGTTTTCTAGTGAGATGTTTCTCAATGACATTGCACTTGTCAGTCTCTCTCGTTGCTGATCTGACAGCTCACTTTGAATAATGAAAAACTGTGCAATGAGATTATCCCCGAAGGGAAATGCGTCCCGCTGTCTGTCCTGCATTCCTTGGATATACTGTCTGAGGACTGTTGGATCGTCCTCATTGAGCAGGGCTGGAGGCGGTGCTCGAACACCGGCTGCTTGCTGATGTCGAGCAATTGTTCTTGCATTTGCGTCCTGTACGGACTGTCGAAATGATGGGGACTGTGCCGTGAAAACGGGCATCAAGTCCATCCATGCTGCCTTCAATCTCATAAGAAGGATTTCGAATTTTGAGGTAAAAATGAGGAACTCTTGGTTCTGCCTTCTATGGTTGAAGAAACTGAGGAGCCTGTACAGATACACGTTGGTCGCACCTTTCAAAAAGTACTTCTGCAGCGTGTTCTTGAAATAGTTTTCTCCTTCATCAGGATCTTGCAAATGGTCGTTTTGGAGGACCGCCTTGTACATATATGCATCACCGGTTAATCTGCTTTTGAGCAGAGGTCCTCTCTTGGGCGCTTCCACCGTTGTGATGGTCACCCAGTCGTCCACGAGTTCTTCATACCTGAACCAGCTGACTTTTCCGTCGTACGATGGCGGCTGCTTGGCGGTCATCGATAAATTTAGTGTTTCCTCCGTATAGTCTGGATTTTTGGCCATACTTGAATAGGCTTCCATGAAGCCTTCTCCATCGGATGACATCTTCCCTTGGATCTCTGCGGAAGACCCGCTCCGCTACCACAAATTGATCACTGGATAAGGCGTTGGCCATGGCCACGTCCATATCCCAGAGATCCCAGGTTCGACTCCCGGAGGCGCCCCGGAGTTTAGGATAAGGGTGCCGAGTCAGCATGGTTCTCTCTACATGACTGGCGGTGGTAAGCACTACGTAGTCCTGAAGGGGAACCTGCTCCGCAGCATACCTGAGTGAAGTAAGAGTCAATGATGCTTCGCTCCGCTACCACAAATTGAGGCCCGCTGCCCCAGGTGCCTATCCCCGAAGGGAACTGGTACCCTGTGGTAGTAGAGGTCGTTTTGTTGGTCCCTGGATCTATTCCGAGAGAGTCCAATATGCCACTGTGGATGATTGGAGGATGGATTGTTTTTGGTGGATTGTCTTGTGGATAATCCTGAAAGCAGCCTGCCAAGGTTCTTTTGCTTCACGCGATCATGAATGATGCAATGATATACAAAAGGGGCCTTGAGCTAAATGTTGCGGGAAATCAATTGGTCTGAGAACCAAACACAGGGGGGGGGGGGGCGGGGGAGGTGTGGGGGCAGGAGGGGGTAGATGAGAACAAAAAGACGCCCTCGCCTCGCCTCCGCAGGCTATGCCTGAAATCTCGGAACTGCGAGGCCTTTATGCGCGTGCAGAGTAGGTGCTGGCTGCGGACGAAGGTCCACCCGGCCAGCTGCGTGGAGAGTGACAACACCCATGTGTGGCGCTGGGCCCTCCGTCGCGAAGGCGAAAGCGGAGGCGAAGGCGAGAGCGCCGCCGAGCTCGCAGGCGGGTGAGGCCCGGCGGGGCCGGATTTCTTTTTTAGCATACTGTGGCGCGTCTGAAGCCTGGAGCCGAGGGGCTGAAGAACCTGTGGCTGATTCTTGATTGTTCTTCCGCAGGCAAAAAAGAACTATAGAAGGGCCAAGGCTGAAGTTTCCAAAGACTTCCTGTTCAACAACCTAGCCTGGCAGGGGAAGGGCGTCTGACGTGCCATCGCAGAAAGTAGTGCGGACTTGCCATTCATTAGGAGCAGCCGCCTTTTTTTCCTCATGCAGGCGGTCTAGGATCGCGTTTAAGTCGGCCAATGATGGTGGCCTCACCTTGATCCAAAGTCGACCTAGGGAGGGTTGCTTCGCGACCTAGCTTGATCCATCGTCGACAGCGTTTTCGGCCTGGTGCCTGGATGCTTTTGGAAGCACGCCGCAGTCCTTTTTTTCTCCGAGCCCTTCCTGGCATCCGGCGCTTCGCCAGGCCAGGTGTGTCACCAAGGTTTCGCCAGACGGCGAAGCCACTTTAGCGACCCGAAGTGGGCCAGCCCGAGACCTCGAAAAGGAAGGCGGCAAAAAGGAAGCGGTTTTTGAGCGAGCGGGCTCCCTGATAAGGTCGACCCCGGATGAATAAACTGTTTGTTTTTTTGGGGGGTGTCCCTGGTTTTAGTGGGGATTCATGACACCCCCCACATTTTTAAGCAGGGGCTGATGAATCCGGGGTCAACATTACTTTTTGGGTTTGGACATTCTTTAGTGGTAAAAGGCAAGCGGGGTGTGTTGTTTCAAAGACATTCCAGGGATGCCACACGCAAGCTTGGACTTGCAGGCAAGTCGTTCCCTGACAGGTGCAACAAGGGGCGGAGGTCTTTAAGCCCGGGTCTCGGAAAGCTTTCCGCGAGGGGGGTTTCGTGTTGAAGCCTTGGTTTCGGGGGGCTTTTTGAGGGCTTTGTTCCCCCAAAGGGCGTTGCCACGCCCTTTGTTTCCCTTCTGCTTCGGGGTGGGGTGGGGCTGGCAAGAAAACCAGCTGAAAAGAGTCCAACTGGGAGAAGCCGTGGGCCTCAATTGAGCCAGTGGCTTTTTTGAGTCAGGCCGGCCGTGTGGCCCATTTCAACTTCAGCCTCTGTTCTTGGTGCTTCTTAAAAGCCCCTTGGGCTTTTAGCTTTTTAGTTGGTCTAGTGAGGGGTTTCCAGTCAACCCACTAAAGTTGAACTTTTTGAACTTGTCAGGGGACCTGAGGACGGTTGACAATGCTGTCCGGGCTTCAGGCCGCCATAGCCTGTGTCTCAGGAAGGGTGACATTGGCACGGCCCTCTTCGTCGTGCAAGCCGGAATGCTTAAGGCGGGCATGAAGCGACGGCTCTGTTTTTGTCAGCCCACTTTGGCCAACGAACAGGTGCAAGCCATTCAAAGATCAGAGTGAGGCTTTTTCCCTGAGCAGGCAGATCAAGCAGAAGCATCAGCTGTTCCAGAGCAGAGCAAGCGTCCACCGGAAAAGGAAAGCACACACACACAAACACCCAGACCCACACCCACACCTCCTAGATTGTGAAAGTCTGAGATCCCTGCTTCCAGCTGGCGCGGTCATTTGGCTCGAAATTCGGTTTCTGCAGGTAGACTTGGGAAGCATCGAAGTCGTGCGAGGAGCCCAGGAGCCAGCCAAAGGGGGCTGGCAACGGAGACCCAAAATCTATGTTGGCGAGGGGACGCTTTGTTTTTCTTTTTTCAGGTCGTTGGGCACTGAGAGGTTGTGGCTTTTGGGGTGGCAATGTCAACTCACGCGCGCGTGGCAGGTTGCGCGGCAAGGCCTCAACATACCATTCGGCGTGTCTTCTTTTCATTTTTTTTTTTTTTTTAAATAATAATAATAATATGTTTTTCTCCGAGGTTCCCCTTTCTTTTTTGGCGGTTGAATTTTCTTGGGCCCCAGGACACAAAAACTGACACTGCCCGAACATCGGCGAGCGAGGCTTCACATCGGCGACACCTTTGGGGAGTTGGCCTTGCTCTACGACGAGCCCCGGTCCGCCCGGCCCCCGGAGATCGAGGCGAGGCGGCGAGGCGGCAGGTCTGGGCCGCGAGAGGCCGAGAGGATTTCATGAGCTTGGCCGGTCTTGGCATTTTTTCTTTTGTTTTATTTTGGTTCTGTTCATTTCTAAGGGGCTGCGAAATAATAGATTTGATAAGCAAAGCTGTTGTTTGCTACCACACCGAGGGTTGTTTGACATAGTGATGTTGAGGGCACGAACAAGCACATGCTGTATGAGCAAGCATCAGGGTTATTTATTCTCACTTCAGCAAATAGTTTGCATGTGTTTGTTGCAGATCCAGCTGCATTTGGTCAGCTTTCCTTTTGTACCTGGTACTCCTTTAGAATTCTCGCATTTTTTTTTTCGTATTCCGGTCGTATGCCCTTCTACTTCCTGAGAATTCCCTATCATTCCCTTAATGTTCCCCTAGCTCGTAGTATTCTCTTGCCCCTAGGGTTCCCTCAGCACTCCCCCAGTATTTCCTTTATTCCCCAAGTATTTCCTCAGTATTCCCCTACTATTCTCCTGGAATTATTTGATAAATATACTAAAACATAATTCATGAGGAAAGAACTCAGAGGTCCCAAAATTGTTGAATATTGTGTTTCAACGTTTACTTTCTTGAAAGGACACTTCTATTGGAAAGGGAATCCTGTGCAGCAATTGATATTCAACAAGAAAAAACATTACTACTCTAGTATGATCCTAGGAGCTTAGTATAACTTGATAAAGATACTAAATAAGAACTCATAAGGGAATAATTTAGAGGTCCCAAGCGTTGAATATTGTGTTTAAATGTTTACTGATTTGAAAAGACAAGCCTATTGGAATGGAATCCTGCGGGGATCCTGAGCAGCAAATTGATATTAATCACAACGTAACGAAACCAGGTCCCAAAATTGCTGAATATTGTGTTTGATTGAATGTAAAGACAAATCTATTGGACAGGGAATCCTGTGCAACATTTGATTTGCCATAGAATAACAAGTACAGCAATTCCAATTTAAGGTAGAATGCATGGTTGGATTATGTCCTATCAAAGTCTTTACAATTTCAGATAGAGATCGAGCAGAGTTTGACACAGGTTTTGATTCGGATCCGCAAGGAAAGAATGCAGAGTGGGTTCGATTAACCGTGTCCTGCTGGTGCAAGAGTCTTGACAGCTGCTGGATGTGTGTGACAGGGACTTCAGGCGCGGCGCCCACACTTTCCTGTCGCACCTGACGCTGACCATAGTAGAAAAAGCGAACACAAGAAAAGCAAAAAAAGACTCGAGAAAACAAAAAAACAATAAAGCAAAACAAAATACACAATTTTCAGAGAGTCTTCACAAGGCGTGGTCTTCCACAAAGTTCCCAGGCAAAAGCCAGGGTTGTCTGCATGTGCACGCGCTGGCGCCTAGGAGGAGTGCACATATTCCTGTCGCATCTGACACCGACCATCTCAGAAAACCAGAACAACCTCGAGAAAGCAAAAAAACAACAAGAAACAAAAAAACACCTCCAGAAAACCAAACAACAAAAAGCAGCAACATAGCCAATATCTGTGAACTTTGTGGAAGACCACACCTTATGAAGACTCTCTGAATATTGTTGGTGTGTTTGGTTTTATTCAGTTTTGTCTTTCATTTTTTTGATTTCTCGAGTCTTTTTTGGTTTTCTGAGATGGTCAGTGTCAGACGCGACAGGAACATGTGCATTTCGCCTAGGCGTGTGCACATGCATAAAACCAATTTTTGCAGTGTTTTAGCACTATTGACAGTAAAAAGTCGCATCGCCAGGGGCGCCTCCTCTGTTTCCAGTGGAGCAAGCTTTGGCCATCCAAGATGTCGCCTGGGGTTCAATTTTTTGTTGAAATCCTGTGTGCCCCTGGCACGCCGAGGCTGTGGTCCGAGTCTTTAAGCCTTTTTTCTGGGTTTGCGAAAGCGAAGGGAAACCCAAGGGGATCCAGCGGGTGGTGGATCCCGCCTTTCACAAGCACCCCATCCAGGCTTTGGATGAGGCAGGTGGGTTGTTTTCCATCGGCCGCCTGAGGCCACGATCCTGGCCACACGCACCTCAAGGCGCGACACGCGCGATTCTTTTGAACCTAGGAGGTTGTTTGACAATGTTCCAGTTCTATCTTCCCCATTCTTTCCAGGATCCTGATTTCTAGAAATCCTCTGGAAACGGCCGGTTTTTGAAAAGAACGATTCTTGGAAAGAATGGTTGGAATCAACCCTTAGAAATGTGTGCGTTGAACGTGTTGAAGCAGGGGGTTGGCTCAACCCGGGTCTTAGCCACTAGAGGTTTCGGACCGTCTCAGTGCAACCTGCTTCGGCCAAGGGCTCATTTTGCCCCACTCTTCCGCTCCCCTGCGTCCACTTTGGTTTGCAGAGCCAGGCTGTGGGTGCTGCCCCGCATCGCCTTCAAGGCCGGCACGGCATGCGGCGTCTGACTTTTTTTCTCCCAGCTTGGCCCTTCTGACGGGCTCGGAAAGGTGAGGTTTAGGAAACGTGAGGTTTGGGGGGGATTCGGTTTTGCCTAGGGCGAGGGGTTTCGCCCAGGCTGCGTTCCGCGGGCGGTCCAAGTTTCGATTCAAGCGCCAGGAGATGCTCCAAGAGACCGCGGTGCACAAGACCAAGGAGCCGGGTGGCCCGGGTCGAAACAAGAATCACGGTCTGCGGCTGGTCCATTTGCTGGGCCCCTGGGCCCCTGGAGCTCCAAATCGGCTTAGGGGACTCCCGTCGCTGGGATTTTTCTCAAGGCCTTGAGCTTGTCGCGGCTTTGTGAAACATTGGAAGCATGCGCGCGGCAACGTTGGCAGTGGAATCCAGCCACAGCTTCCCCGAAATGAAACCACCAGGATATGGACCGCAGGTTTTGGTCCATGTTTCCACTTAGCCAGAGTTCCATTTTGGGTACCTATTTTTGGGTGGCTTCTCAACAAGATCATTGCGTGCAGAGAGCGCGGATATTGTTGAAGCATGGCGCATGCGCTGGACGGAGCGGCATGTCCTTATGTATGCTCATCTATATCGATACGAGTCTATCCATCCATCCATCCATCCATCCATCCATCCATCCATCCAG